CTCCAGTCTGGGCGACAGAGTGAGACTCCAACTCAAAAAAAAAAACAACAAAACAAAACAAACAAACAAAAACTTTTGTGGCTGGGCACAGTGGCTCAGCCTGTAATCCCAACACTTTGGGAGGCCGAGCGAGGCAAGGGGATCACCTGATCCCCAGGGGTTCGAGACCAGCCTGGGCAACTTGGTGAGACTTCATCTCTACAATAAATCACAAAAACTAGCCGGGCATAGTGGCATGCGTCTGTAGTTCCAGCTACTTGGAAGGCTGAGGCAGAAGGATTGCCTAAGCCCAGCAGGTTGAGGCTGCAGCGGCCATGAGCGTACCACTGCACTCCAGCCTGGGCGACAGGAGTGAGACTCCGACTTAACAACAACAACAAAACTTTCTTATATCCCAACACTTTGGGAGGCAGAGGCAAGAGAATTGCCTGAGTCCAGGGGTTCGAGACTAGCCTGGGCAACTTGGCGAGACCTCATCTCTACAATAAATAAAAAAATTAGCCAGCTACTTGGAAGACTGAGGTGGAAGGATCGCCTGAGCCTAGCAGGTCGAGGCTGTGGAGGCCATGAGGATGCCACTGCACTCTAGCCTGGGCGACAGAGTTAGATACCAACTCAAAAAATAAAAAACTTTCTTGAAAGCCCTGCTCTGTGAGTTCTACTTATATCTCAGTGGCAAACAGTATCACATGACCATTTGACCTGTAGCAAAGCCAAGAAATAAAGATCTTTACCTAACCATATTGGTACCCAACATTGAACTTCTTTCTGGTAGGAGGAAAATGTCAGTAGATAGTCAATCAACTAACAGTTTTTGCTATAGTCCTCCTCTTCAGCTACCCAATAACCCTCTTTTTTCTTCTCAGTGGCAATGCCTCCAAAGTCTCAGCTAGTTAGTATATACAGCTAAAAGACCTGGTCTTCTGAGTTATTTCAGATCTCCCATCAGGTCTGAATATGGTATGTTGTAAGCTACCATATTCTGGGGTCTCATAAACTAAAAGAAAAGTTAAATGTTCCCTCCTTCAATATTTTATAGTTAGAGAAGGAGGAAGATAATTCTAGTAGAAATTCCTACCTGGAAAAGCACATGATCACATCTTGCTGGACAGGAATAGCAGAGTCTTGGCTGGATAGGAATAGCAGAATCTCTGTCCTGGTGGTAGAGAAAGTTCCTCAGGTGGTTTATCTGATAAACTTCTACCTAGTTTTGCTTCCTGGGAGGATTTCTTTTGCCCTTTGTCCACTGTAGCCCCTATCTCTTCTCTAGGAGATTTTGATTGTCTATTTTCCACCATGACCATATCCAACTTATGAATAGCAGAGTCTTGGCTGGATAGGAATAGCAGAATCTCTGTCCTGGTGGTAGAGAAAGTTCCTCAGGTGGTTTATCTGATAAACTTCTACCTAGTTTTGCTTCCTGGGAGGATTTCTTTTGCCCTTTGTCCACTGTAGCCCCTATCTCTTCTCTAGGAGATTTTGATTGTCTATTTTCCAACATGACCATATCCAACTTATGAATAGGGAGCGTGCCAATGAAGTGCTTTTTAAAAGACTGTAACAATCTAAATATCCATCATTAGGGCACTTGGTAAATAATTGTGGTATATCCACCTAGAATACTAGGTGGCTGTTAAACAGAATGAAGGCTATCCAGCTGTATTAATAGGGAATAAACTTCACGATGTGTTAAATAAAAATAGCTAAAGGAAAGGAAAGGCCATGTGTATGATATCCTTCCATTTGTGAGGAGAGAAAAAAGAGAGGAGATACCTAGGTTATATATACATAGATGGTATCTGGAAGAATATATAAGAAGTTGTTCCCTCTGGAGAGGGGACCACAAAATCAGAAGTAGGAGGGATACTTTTACTTTTCATTTCATATCCATTTATTCTAGATGAATTTTTTACCATGTGTGCATATTTCTGTTTTAATTTGTATGCTTCTTGATTAAAATTATTTTTGACTGGCAAGAGGAAAAGACGACAAATGATTCAGGAATCTTTGTGATTCATAAAAAATGTTTGCCACTTAACTGCTTTCAGAGACCCTACCAAAGGTGGAAACTGGACCTTTGGTATTTTCATTTTCTGGGTAGGTGGGCAGCTAAGCCTTTGACTGTCCAAATACATACTGCAAGGCTTACACTTCTAGTTCTTCTTTATCCTATTTAGCAGCAACATAAGATTCATAGTCCCTTTTCCTCTACAGTGGAAATTTTACTCAGCCGACAAAAGAAAGCTGAACTTCTAAAGAAGATGACTGATGTGGCTGTTCGAATGTCAGAGGAGCAATTGGTTGAGCTCAGAGCTGATATCAAGGTAAAACTTTCTTCTCCGTTCTGCCTTTCTTCTTACCCTCAGGGGCTGAAGTAACAAATCTCCATAATTCATGGTCATCTCTAATATATTGAACTCATGAGCTTCCTTTCCCAAGCTTGGCCCTCTTCCAGGTCCCTTTCTCTGTAAGTGGTACTGTCATCTATCCAGTTGTCCCAGCTGAAAACCTTAGAAAATTTCTCCATTTCTCACATTAAATCTGTCAGCAGTCCCTGTACATTTAACCTCATATCGAATCTCAAATCTGATCTTTTCTCCACCGTTAACACCACCATCATGATCAAGTTACCACCATCTCTTGCTTGGCTTTTTTGTTTGTTTTTGTTTTTGTTTTGAGTCAGAGTCTCACTGTTGCTCAGGTTGGAGTCCAGTGGCATAGTAGTGACCACTGCCATCTTGACCTGCTGTGTTGAGGCGATCCTTCCTCCTCAGTCTTTCAAGTAGCTGGAACCATGCACCACCATGCCAAGCTAGTTTTTTGATTTATTGTAGAGATGAAGTCTCGCCAAGTTGCCCAGGCTAGTCTCAAACCCATGGACTCAGGCAATCCTCTCGCCTCGGCCTCCCAAAGCGCATGAGTCACTGCACCCAGCTGCAATAGCCTCTTAACTGATTTTCTTCATTCGTTGTGCCATTGCTTCCCCCCCCCCCGTATATGTCCTCACACTACAGCAATCTCTCTAAACTTTCCATTGCTTTAGGACAAAATTCTCTTACCTTCTTAAAAAATTTAAATAGTCCTTAATCCAGACTGTAGGGCTGTGTGTTCTCACTCATTGTCACCCTCAGTTCACACCATCTCATCTTGGCCTCTGTCCTCCAGCCATGTTGACTTTTCCTCTCCACAGACATACCCACTCCCTCCCACTGGAGGGTCACTCAACATGCTTTTCCATTTGTCCAAAACACTCTTCCCCCTGCCTCTGAGCACATAATTATTCCGGACCTACTCATCCTTCCTGACTTTCCTGTCCTATCCCTCTTCTGTGCTTTCAGAGCAGTTAGGATTTTCTGTGCATTTGATTAATTTGTCTTCCCCACTAGATCATGAACTTCACAGTGGCAGGAACTGCTGTTCTGCAGTGCCTAGCACAGTGCCTCGGCACATAGTAGGTCTTCTATAAATAATGATTGGGTGGTTGATTCTGTAGAGAAAAATTAGCCATTTGAGATGTTGTTTATATTGTGACCTGTTTATAATAGACTACTTGGGTTCAAAATTTATACCTTTCAATTGCTTATATAAAGAACAGTGTTTCTGAGACTAAGCATGTGAACCCAAGAGAAACTGGGTTACTCATGGGCAGTTGTAGACATTGGCGTTCTAAATAATCATTTGTAAACCATGAACTGTGTGAACAAGGGAAGTTGGCCTTCTCCACGCCTGTGCCCTTCACCTCTACATTGTCTGAACATGTAAGATGTATTGTCACAATTGAGAGGAACATTTGCTGCAGAGGATGCAAAATAAAGCACAGGTGGAAGGGCCTTACAAGGATCCTTGTTACCATCTGACCCAGTGTTTGCACAAACCTGTGGAGTCTTGTTATTCTTACTCCTTCCCCTGAGATTCCATTGGGGTGAAGTAGCCAATGATGCAAATTTTAAATCACCATTTTCTGTTCAACTAACACTATCTTACTAAACATTAGGAGAAAGGCCTCCTTGCATTGATGCCAGTCAGGCTCATTCAACTCTCTGGGAGAAGCTGGAAACCCCTTTGGAATTAGATGAGATTTCTGGCTCTCATAGACTTCATCTGTTCCCCCTCCCACGTGGCTGAAAAGCTGCTGGAAATATTCCTGCAGGCTGACTAAGGATCTGTTTCTCTCCACGTTTCAGCGTACTGAAGTGGGTGCTGTGCAATTTAAATGTCTTATTTCCAGATCATTTTATTTCCGTCATTCCTATTATGTCTTTGACTCAACAAACCCTAGAATTTGTTTCAGAATTAATCTCAGACTGATATTACATGTCTGAAGGCTTTGTTAAAAGAGGTTCATGTGCTTTCCTAAGCCATAATAGTCTCTGAAGCTTTAGGACTTCAAGGCCAAAGGTAATTTTTATCTTTCCTTTCCCTTTCAGTGCTTCTCGATGTATCTCGAGAATTCTGATGCATCCCAAATAATATTAGACCACCCAGTTAAGAGAATTGCCCTGAGGAGTTCAGTTCTTCCAAATTATATCTAGGCCTTTAACTTTTCTTTTTCATCCCCTTACTTTCTGGAAAAAAAGATTCCAGTCTACCTTAGATATGTTTATTGAAACAGACCCCCCAGAAGCACTTTATTCCTGACATATTTCTATATTTCTTTATTTCTCAATTTCTATAGCATAGTTTTTTACTCGAGGGATTGGTTACTTCTCAGTTCAGTCTACTCAAAAGGATTAAATTACTTGCAGCATAAACTCTTCTCATTTGCAAAGTTGACTTTTCACATGAATGATTTTCCATCTCAAGAAATTGTTCCTATTTCAAAGACTAAGAAATCCTACTTTATAAAGAGATAAATGGGTTTCCTAAAGAAGCTCCTATTAACACCAAGCCGTCTATCTAAATGGAATCTTTGTTGTAGCTTGTGAATGTTTTTGCAACCTCTATGTTTGTATATAATGGAATAGCAAACAGTGGGAAGATTGTCCTCTACTGTAAATCCTTCCTCTGTTTTCCTCTCACTACATTTTATCTTGATTATGCCTAATGGGCTCTGACATTATAATATAGTATTTCATAAAACTTCAAAACTAGCCAGGCACGGTGCTCATGCCTATAATCCCAGCACTTTGGGAGGCTGAGGTGAGAGGATTTTCTGAGCCCATGGGTTCAAGACCAGCTTGGGCAACATAGTGAGGTTTCATCTCTACAGTAAGCAAAAAAATTAGCTGAGCGTGGTGGTGGCACACTCCTGTAATTCCAACTACTTGGAAAGCTGAAGTGGAAGGATCGCTTGAGCCCAGCAGGTTGAGACTGCAGTGACCATGAGCATGCCACTGCACTCCTGCCTGGGTGACAGAATGAGACTCCAACTCAAAAAAAAAAAAAAGAGCAATACTTCCAAACTTATTTTTGAGCTCTTGAAGAAAATGAGTGAATTTGTTCGATTACCCACTGTTGGCAATATGATGGCCATTTAGTGAACTTTGAAACAGTAAAAAGGAAAAATGGAGACAATTGAAAATAATTCTAGGCCGGGCGTGGCAGCTCACATATATAATCCCAGCACTTTGGGAGGCCAAGGTTGAGAGGATTGCCTGAGCCCATGGATTCAAGACCATCCTGGGCAACTTGGCAAGACCTCATCTCTACAATAAATCAGAAAATTAGCCAGACGTAGTGGTGCATGCCTGTGGTTCCAGCTACTTAGAAGGCTGAAACGGAAGGATCATCTGAGCCCAGCAGGTCGAGGCTGTGGTAGCTGTCAGCGTGCCACTGCACTCCAACCTGGGTGACAGGGTGAGACTCCAACTCAAAAAATAAAATAAGAAAATAATTCTGTTTGATCTGTATATAGGAGGTTATAAATTAAATGTAGAGTGTGTCTAACCTGGAGGGCTTTCTTTGCACTTTCCTCCAGCACTTTGTTAGTGAACGTAAATATGACGAGGATCTGGGACGAGTCGCACGGTTCACCTGTGACGTAGAGACCCTGAAGAAGAGCATTGATTCATTTGGGCAAGGTGAGATGACAAGACACTTTGCGAACTAGAGGTGGAGATTATTTTAGAGACCAATGTGCTGATTGGTTTTTCCACTGACTCTTCATCAGTGCTTCTCATTTGCTTGTCTTTATAAAAAGTAACTCTGAGATGTGAAGTCCATGGATACAGACCTTTGAACTCTGAAGATGGGTATTTGCCAGCTCCATAAATATGAAGGACTGTTTTTCATCATTTATGCTGAACTGATAGGCATGTAATATGTGGTGTCAAGAACATGGACTCTGCAGTCAGACCACGTTTGAATCTCTGCCTCTACATTGTTGTCTCAGAGCTTCATTTCATTCCTCTCCAAAACAGAGATAACAATACCTGCATTGCTGGGTGCATAACAGGCCTTTAAATAATAGTGTTAAAGGGGAGAGGAGTGCCTGCAAGGAGAGGAGTGTCTAGTGACACATTGGTTAAGCCCTGAACACCACTTCTTTGTTCTTTCTATCTCAGTATAAAAGTGACATGTTAGCTGGGCGTGGTGGCTCCTGCCTATAATCCCAGAACTTTGGGAGACTGAGATGAGAGAATTTCTTGAGTCCAGGGATTTGAGAACAGCCTGGGCAACTTAGTGAGACCTCATCTCCACAATAAATTTAAAAACAAAATTAGCCAGACATGTGGTATGTGCCTATAATTCCAGCTACATGGAAGGCTGAGGTGGAAGAATCACCTGAACTCAGCAGGTTGAGGCTGTGGTGGCGTGAGCATGTCACTGTACTCCAGCCTGGGTGACAAAATAAGACTCCTACTCAAAGAAAAAAAAGTGACATGTTGAACCTAGGATAACATTTATGAACTTATCCTTAGCCCAGACCTCAAACCAAAAAAAAAAATCCAGGCGTAATTTTAAACCATTCAACATTAAATTCTGACAAGATATGAATTGAAATATTAATTTTTTTGTTGGGCTTGGTATTTTGAATTCAGGGTTATTTTTACAGAAAGAAATTTGGCAAGATACGTGTTTGTTGTAAAGACTAGTTCTATTCATGTTTAAGTGATCTTGATTATTTATACCTTGCATCATTCAAATTTTTTAAAAGGGATTTAGCAAAGATTTGATTTATTTACCTTTTTCTTTTTTTGAAAAGTCTGTACTTGAGAATGTTCCTTGCATAGGAAACTGAACATATGGAACTATTGTTCCCAGGCTTAGTCAGCTGTTAGAGAGAGCTGAAGCAAGGAGTTTAGGTAGCAGGAAATATCAAGAAGTCATTAGTTGGTGGGAGGATAGGTAACTTTGATCTTAAACTGTTCTGTCTTTAAGAATTCCTTTACAGCTGGGCTCGGTGGCTCAGCCTGTAATCCCGCGCCTTTGGGAGGCTGAGGTGAGTGGATTGCCTGAGCCCATAGGTTCAAGACCTGCCTAGGCAACTTGGCGAGACCTCATCTCTACAATAAATCAAAAAATCAGCTGGGTGTGGTAGCACGCGCCTGTAGTTTCAGCTACTTGGAAGGCTGAGGCAGAAGGATCGCCAGAGCCCAGCAGGTCGAGGCTGTGGTGGCCGGGAGCAGCCACTGCACTCCAATCTGGGCGACAGAGTGAGACTCCAACTCAAAAAAAAAAGATTCCTTTACAAAGCAGTGGGGATTTGGAGAGAGTGGCGGAAGAGAGCAGTCGGGACTTTCCTTCCTGTTACCCATTTTACAGGTGTTTTTTTTTTTTTTTAATGACTACTCAAGTGGACAATTCTTTATTTTAAATTGCTCTTTGTGAAATTGAGAAACAACAGAAACCTTACCCATCATTCTGTTCCATCATATGACCAGTATCCCTCATATTTCTGTTTTAGTGTCCCATCCAAAGAACAGCTATTCAACCAGATCCCGATGTAGCTCAGTTATATCTGTGTCCTTGAGTAGCCCGAGTGATGCCTCTGCTGCTTCTTCCACCTGTGCCTCTGTTCCCAGCCCTACCAGTGCTAACAAGAAAAACTCTGCACCAGGAGAGACTCCTGCAGCTGTAGCAAATACCAGTGGCCGGCCTTACCAACCGCATCGGGAGGTAACCTCACATCCACGCTGAGCATGTTAGAAAGAAGAACCTCCAGACTGTCAAAGTTTAAGTGCTGATAGCTCAGTATATTACCTTTCTCTCTTTATTTCCATTCCACCTATTTGGAATCTCTCCAGCCCCAGTTAGTTCCTGAGAAAGGATTTGATATGTTTTATATATATAGTCCAAACCAGTTTAGATTTCCTGTTGCCAAGAACAACTGACTTTCTTATGTTGGCAATGACCCTTGCTGTTGTAGCTACTATTGCCTGGGAATTAGTCACACTGGAAGTCGTGCACCCATCTCAGGGCAGACAGATACCACAAGTGGCAGGTTCACCAACATGCATCGGAAAGCAGCAACTTCCAAAAACCCAACGTGGAATTTGTCAGGGAAAGAGATAATTAACCCAGTGGCGATAGGGGATGAGCACTAGAAAGCTGAAGATGAAGACTTGGCTGGGCACAGTGGCTCACAACTGTAATGCCAGCACTTTGGGAGGCCAAGGCTTAATGGGAGGGTTACTTGATGCCAGGAGCTTGAGACCAGCCCGGGCAACATAGTGAGCCCCTGTCTCTACAAAAAAATAATATTTTTAAAATATAAAAAATTAAAAAAAGAAAGTAGAAGATTAATCCATAGTTTCTTTTCCTTGTTTAAAGATGGAATAGAAGAGCAATCCAAGGCAGTGCTGTTAGTAATTCTTCAGAAATGATATAACATTGGAATTGAGGACAAAAATAAAATCCCATTCCTTAAACTTTCGGGATTATAATGTGAAAGATGTACTGAATGTCACAGCAGCATGGTTTTATCTGTGGCTCATAATCTATAGCAAGGCAGGCCATAATGATGTTTACTTGATTATTCTAAGTGTTTATTATCTTTGCAAATGGCCTATGACAACCTTTTGGCTTCCCTAGGCCTCACTGAGTAAAGAGGAACTGTCTTGGGCTGCACATAAAATTATATAGTATAGTTAGTGTATATACATAACGAGACTTCTTTTATTTTTATATTTTTTCTTATGAAGTTTAGAAAAATGAGAACAAAATAAAACTAGTAGTAAATCTGACCTTGTTTTTGTAAAACTAATCTATCAATATCTGGTTCAATGGAAGTGGTCACAGTTTTTAATGAGTTCTCAAGGTGCTCGTCAGAAATGTTTGTTCAAATTTTGCTCTTCATGTGCTTCATAATTGAAAACAGTTGTTCACAAATGTATGTGCTGCCAAAAGCAATGTCATGAATAAGGCATGATCATGAACTTCAGAAATAGAACTACGCATGGAAAGAAACACTAAAGGAAAGAAACACTAAAAAACACATGATGTTAAAAGATTTTGTGAGGCCACATTACTAGCTGTCCTGGGCCACATGTGGCCTGCAGGTTCAATATGCCTGACCTATGATCTACAAAGTTCAGACATATAAGATTGCTTGTCCAACTGAGGGCTTGTAACAACCCGGAGGATGTTCTTTCTTCTTATCTCTCTTCTTGTGCCCAGCTAAAGAAAAGTAAGCTCCTCTTCAGTGGAAAAGAGCCTAGGAGTGAAAGATGGGGAGAGATGTATTAATTCTAATGTAGTGGCTAGCTAGGTAGGATTGACAGAGAGAATTCTGTGAGTGTTGAGAGATCATTTTGAGAGCCACAATTATGCTTTCAGACTATACCTCCAAACTGGGGTACCATCATGCCAGAGCACCTTGAACATTGTCTACCTTTATCCTTAGGTATTGCCAGGAAACAGGCGAGGAGGACAAGGCTACAGGCCACACAACCAAAAGTCCGGTGACCCTGTGAGCCAAGGGCGGCATGACGGTGTAGGTCGTTACAGAAACAGCTCGTGGTATTCCTCTGGCTCCAGGTATCAGAGTGCTCCACCCCAGGCACCAGGAAGCACCAGTGAACGGGGCCAGACTCTCTCTGCAGGGACCAATGGAACTGGAGTCAACACGGAGCCCTGCCTACCCAAGCCCGCGTTTAAAAAGGGGCTCCCCCAGCGCAAACCCAGGACCTCTCACACTGATGCCGGAAACTCTTGAGAGAAATTCCAGTTGGCCTCTCTCCTCTATCCCACACAATTCAACTTGATAACTGGACTTTAGGAAACGTATAGTTAGGTTTAATAACAAAAAAGTTTATGCATATCACTTTTGTGCCATTCTAAGTATTTTTGCTTTCTTGTTTCCTTAATTCTTTTACCATTTTTGGAGAGAAAGCTATCTTTTTCCTTGATCTTTCCCAATGATATGGATTGATTTTGATTGGTCATTTCCACCAGGACTCAGAGGCAGCTGTTGTCAGCTTCCCCTAGGGTAAGCAGCATTCTTCCGAGTGCACAAGGCTCAGTTACCCCCACTCTTTGGGCTGACTTGGAAGGAGGCAGCTCAGAGCTCGTCTGCTGCCTTTCCAATCTAAGCAGAAGCCACAGATGCCTGCCAGGTTCCCTTCAAACAACAGTTTGACCCGGAAAGTCAGTGAGGAGATTGTATATTGCACTGGGTTAACCAGAGAAGGGAAAGTGTAATTGGTGAAAAGAGAGAACTAGGCAACATCTGAGAATCTGCCTCTATCCCAGAATGTGCCTGCGATTTACACTGAAGGCAGGGTTTCAGTCTGCTGCTTGGCACCGTAGCTTAACCTGCGGTTTCTTCAGAATGCCCAAAGCCTTGCTTCCGATTGCCTTAGATTGCAAACCAGTCTAGGGAAGTCTATGGGAAAGTAGCATTTAATTGAAGTTAAAAAAAAAATGTTAAAAAAAAAGCATTTCTCTATTTTAATGTTTGGAAACTTTTTTGGTTCTCTCCCTTCCTGTTCTGATCCTGATCAAATTTATAGCAATACAATTAATGTTAATCTAAGGTGTTACCCATCCAAAAATCGCTGCAGACTACCTTTATAGTTGAATAAATAAAAACAGCTGCATAAATGTTCCACACTTGTTTCACAGCAGCAGGCAATCTCATTTCATTATCTGTTTTCCTTTGGGCCTCATGGGGTAGAAGTCACTCAGACAGCTTGTTCTGGCCTTAAATGAGGGTGTCTCATTCCCAAGTCGTTTGTCCTCGCAGTTGTGCTTCAGGACCAAATTAAAACATGAAAGCCAGGATGAGCAAGTGCAGCTGTTCCTGGTGGGAAAGGCTCGTCAGAGAAGGAATGGTGACTTTCCAAAGGAGAACTCACCATGGAGAAAAACCGCAGCTGCCAGCGGCTCTCCCAGCAACCGCAGGTTATGTTGGCACTCCTGTCCCCGTCCCCGCCCCTTGACTGAGCAGTGAGTGAAACTGTAGAACTGAGCCTGTGGCAGGTGGCATTGGTGCCAGACCCCTCCAACCCACACCCGCCCCAGCATCTATGATTTAATAATAGCAGAGCTTTTCTTTCTCCAGCATGTGTTCTCCCAGGTCTGAAGCGCACGCTGTAAGTGGCAGCAGTGCAGAACGTAGCTGCCTCAGGCCTTCCCCTGGCTCTTTGGCTGAAGCTGAGCTGCCAGGGTTCCGGCTGGTTAAACAGATTGAGAGAGAGACAGTGCGCGCGCGCATGCCTTGTGTATCTTTCAGTAGGAGTAGTCAAGGAGTACTGGGGAAGCCATTTCCAAGGGGCCTAACACCTCATTTTTGGGAGTTGTCCAACAGTACCATCAGCCTGCTATGTGTCGGGAAAAAAACCCTGGTTTTCTGATTAATTGTTTACCTATACTTTACTGGAAATCCAGAGATTGAAGCAACCTTGAAGAATTATGAGAGCCGTCCCTATATCCAGGCAAGACTAGATTTAACCACCCAGATAGATAGACGGCCACATCTTTGTCAAAACTGCCTTGAGGTTGAAATTAAAATTTCCCTATAAAAAAAATCTGAAGATTTTTTATGATCATAAAATTTGAAAATTATGGGATGGGTTTTGTACATTTTATTTTTAATTACAAAAGTAGTATTTAAAATGTCAAGGCACGGTAAAGACCAGGCATGGTGGCTCACACCTATAATCCCAGCACTTTGGGATGCTGAGGTAGGGGGATTGCTTGAGCCCAGGAGGTCAAGACCAGCCTGGGAAACAGCAAGTCTCTGCCTCTACAAAAAAATTTTTAAAAATTAGCCAGGCGTGATGGTGTGCGCCTGTAGACCCAGATACTCGGAAGACTAGGGTGGGAAAATTGCCTGAGCCCAAGAGGTCAATGATCCTGCCACTGCACTCTAGCCTGGGTGACAGAGTGAGACCCCTGACTTGAAAATCAAAATAAGCCGGGCTCGGTGGTTCAGCCTGTAATCCCATGCCTTGGGAGGCTGAGGTGAGTGAATTGCCTGAGTCCGCGGGTTCGAGACCCGCCTGGGCAACTTGGTGAGACCTCATGTCTACAATAAATAAAAAAAAATTGGCTGAGCGTGGTAGTGCGCGCCTGTAGTTTCGGCTACTTGGAAGGCTGAGGCGGAAGGATCACCGGAGCCTAGCAGGTCGAGGCTGCGGTGGCCGAGAGCGGCCACTGCACTCCAGTCTGGATGACAGTGTGAGACTCCAACTCAGAAAAGAAAAGAAAATCAAAATAAAATATCAAATAATATAGAAATGTAAAAGGAAAAAGAAAAATTTTCCATCTTTCCATTTCACTCCTCAGGGGTAATGACTGGTGTTAATACATCCTTCTAAACGTTTTTCCTTTTTTTATTTCTATTTTCTATTTTTAGAGATGAGTCTTGCTGTGTCGCCCAGGCTGGAGTACAGTAGGTATTCACAAGTACAACCATAGCACACTGCAGCCTCAAACTCTAAGCTTCAAACAGTCCTCCTGCCTCAGCCTCCTGAGTAGCCAAGACTACAGGCGTGTGTAACCACTCCTGGCTTAGACCTTTTTCAAAACATACATGTATATATACACATGGATATATGGGTTTTAAATTTTTATTTAGAAAATCATACTATATATATTCTCTAATCTGTTTTTAAATATGTCTAACCCAGCCGGGCTCGGTGGCTCAGCCTATAATCCCAGCACTTTGGGAGGCTGAGGTGAGTGGATTGCCTGAGCCCGCGGGTTCGAGACCCACCTGGGCAACTTGGCGAGACCTCATCTCTACAATAAATCAAAAAATTAGCCGGGCGTGGTAGCGCACGCCTGTAGTTCCAGCTACTCGGAAGGCTGAGGCGGAAGGATCGCCAGAGCCCAGCAGGTCGAGGCTGCAGTAGCCGGGAGCAGCCACTGCACTCCAGTCTGGGTGACAGAGTGAGACTCCAACTAAAAAAATAAATAAGTAAATAAATAAATAAATATGTCTAACCCATAATTCATTTAAGATCTCATGCTGTAGATAATCTCCAAATTTTGCCAATTTGACTTCAGTGAGAAGTTAGACTGATCTTCGTTTAAATTGTGTAGCTCATCCCTCACGCCCAAATAGCTCTGGGCTTCCCAAGAGAAGGAAGATTCCATACTCTGGGCAGCCACCACCTGTGCTCAGAGACCCTACCTAACCAGCCATCATTTTTCCTTCCTTTTTCCTTTTCCCCTTATTGACGATGTCTTGCCCTCCCCAACCTAAAGATAGGACTGGGACTTCAAGTTATTTAGCTCTTCATTTATGTGACACTTGAGAGGCAAAATACAAATTAGCATGACTTCGTTGTGAACATCAAATATTTCCTATGCCCCTTACTTATGGCTGTTTAAAAATTTTGCTTTTTAGGAAATAATTACAGATTTTTGTTTTTCAATACAGAAGTGTACGTGGTAGAAATTTAAAAGTTCTTCCCTACCATGTCCCACTCCCTAGAAGAAATCACTCTCATAGAAATCATATCTTTCTAGAAATGTTCTTTTTTTATGTCTTTTTAAAATTTTATTTTATTTTGTTTGGTTTTGGGGTTTTTTGTTTTGTTTTTGAGTTGGAGTCTCACTCTGTCGCCCAGGCTGGAGTGCAGTGGCCGCTCCCGGCCACCACAGCCTCAACCTGCTGGGCTCCGGCGATCCTTCTGCCTCAGCCTTCCAAGTAGATGTAACTACAGGTACGCACTACCACGCCCGGCTAATTTTTGATATATTATAGAGATGAGGTCTCGCTAAGTTGCCCAGGCAGGTTTCAAACTCGTGGGCCCAGGCAATCCACTCACCTCAGCCTCCCAAAGGTGTGGGATTACAGGCTGAGCCACCGAGCCCGGCTTATTTTATTTTAAAATTGTGGGGCAGGCCAGACTTGGTGGCTCAGCCTGTAATCTCAGCACTTTGGAAGGCCAAGGCAAGTGAATTGCCTGAGCCCATGGCTTTGAGACCAGCCTGGGCAACTTGGTGAGACCTTGTCTCTACAATAAATCAAAAATTAGCAGGGCATGGTAGTGTGCATCTGTAGTTCCAGCTACTTGGAAGGATCACTGGAGCCCAGCTTGTCGACGCTGGGGTGGCCGTGAGTGTGCCACTGCACTCCAGCCTGGGCGACAGAGTGAGGCTCCAACTCAAAAAAAAAAGAAACGTGGAGTACAAGTCAGGATTGCAAACACAAGTAAGTGGTTTAGGTACAGGTGAAGTTTGGGGCCTCCCATTGGACCTCACTTGGTCTGTGTTAGGATTAGACACCTTAACTGATGTTATAGAAATGTTCTAACCCCAAACATGGAAATGCATTTTTTTTTTTCTTTTACGTGAATGGAAATCATACTATGCATGCCCTTATACAACTGACTTTTTTCATTTGTCCTCACTTTTCATAACTAATTTTTTTTGTTTTGAGAAAAAGCATTCTGGGCAAATACTAAAAATCTAAACATTTCAAAAGAATATGTGATTAAAAGTACACCTTTATCCCACTATGGACTATTCATCCCCTCCCCAGAGGCAACCACTGTTAAGTTTCTTGTGTATCCCTTGGAGGTTTTCTGTGCTAGTGCAAGTTTATCATAAGAATGTATCCCAAGCCAGGGGTTGTGGGGGAAAAAAAGGGGGGAAAGAATTTATACCACTTAGACCTCCTCCTGGACAGGACAAAACGACCCCACAGAATAGTACGGTAGCAAATGGCTGTCAGCCTAGTCAAATCTAAGTTCAGACCGGTTCCTCTACCTAGTAGCCAAGCAGCGCTCAACAGTTTATCTGTAAATAAAAACACGTGCCTCCCAGGAGTCTATTATTTCAAAGGGATAGAGGCTGGGAGCAGTGGCTCCCGCCAGTAATCCCGGCACTTTGGGAGTCTTGAGGCGAGAGGATTGCCTGAGCCCGTGGGTTTGGGACCAGCCTGGGAAACATGGCAACACCTTGTCTCTACAATAAATCAAAGAAATTAGCCGGGCGTGGTGGCGTGTGCCTGTAGTCCCAGCTACTTGGAAGGCTGAAGTGGAAAGATCACCTGAACCCAGCAGGTTGAGGCTGCAGTGGCCGGGAGCGTGCCACTGCACTCCAGCCTGGGCCACAGAGTGAGACTCCGACTCAATAAAAGGGCGGCGGGGGGCAGACTCCGTGACTCAGCCTGTAATCCTAACACTTTGGGAGGCTATGGCAAGTGGATTACCTGAGCCGGTGGGTTCGAGACCAGTCCAGGCAACTTGGTGAGATCTCATCTCTACAATAAATCAAAAAATTAGCCGGGCATGGTTGCATGCGCCTGTAGTTCTAGATGCTTGGAAGGCTGAGGTGGAAGGATCACCGGAGCCCAGCAGGTCGAGGCTGCGGTGGCCGGGAGCAGCCACTGCACTCCAGTCTGGGCGACAGAGTGAGACTCCGACTCAAAAAAAAAAACAGAAGAAAGGGATATAAATATAACTCATTCCTTCTGTGGCTGTGTATTATTCCATTGTATAAATTTGGCATAGTTTAACCAGTCCCTAGTGTTGGTTTTTAGCTATTTGCTATTACAAGTATTTCTACAATGAGGATTCCATGTTGCATATATCATTCTCCACTTGTGAGAGTATCTGTAGGACCAATAACTAGGTTTGGAATTTCTGGATCATATAGCTATTCATAAGGCTTTTTTTTTTTTT